AATTTACAATTTCGTAAAATTTCAAAATATTTCGAAAATTTTACCATTTATATTAAATGCTAATATAAATATTTGGTGAAAATTTCAAGGGTGTACAGTTATTGGATATTGAGTTACACCAATGTAATTAAATCGATATTTTCAAAAATTGGTTTTGCGTAATTATATTATTTCTTCTTTTAAAACTTTCTTAAATTACTTGGAATTTTTACCTCCCAGAAGAACCAACTAGATTTACTTTTCTATTCGAAAATATGCTAATCTTGAAAACCTGAACATTTTTAGTACCAAAAATGTTGCTAACAGACAAAAAAAAAGAAATTGTAAAACCAATAGGTACATTATATTTCACTCCGCTCAGGTCTCAGAATCTTTTTTTTTTTATTTATTTTTAAAAGGAATCTATAATCTATACCACTTGGCACAATAAGTAAATGTGAAAACAGATTTTATATATAAATTATTAAAAAAAAAAAAACAAACACACATTCAATATTGTATCCTTAATAACATTTATATATATATAGTGTGACAATTTTGAGGAAAGCACCCATTTGTAACACTTTCATTGGGTCTCAGAATCTAAAAAATAAAAGAGTACCTACTTGCAGGGTAAGCATGATATAATAAAACATTAAATATTTGATAAAGTATAACAAATAACCATTGTATACCTAAATATATTTGCCAGTTCTGAATTTTGTTTTATTTATAGGTGGTCAAATCTTATAGCTCAACTGACAAGGAACAAATGTCCCATATGATATTCATTATGAAGACAACAGTATATACCACTCATATTAATTGAGAATTTTATTCTTCTTGAATAATTTTAAAATTTGTTATTTATATCCTTTTTTATGCTTCAAATTCAATCATTATAATTCATCCTGATTATAAATAAATATTATCATATTTTACTGAATTATATTTTTAGCATAAACTACAAATTGTGTGCACCTACTTTTTTCTTTATATTACTGTTTTTTTTTTTATATTGAATAATTTTATGATATAATAAACCTTTTATACTCAGTGAACGTGGAATGAGTCTTAGATTTTTTAAATTTACTTACAAGTTGCAACTGAACAAAATGTGCAATACAACATGTTTTGTAAAGTAATAGTTAGTATTTCTATACAATCTGTTGTTTTTGCTTGCAAATAATAAATAGGTACTAATAATAATTAAACATTTTGAATCTTGATATTGAATAAACTCACCAAAGTATCAACTACCTATATATTTTAAATAGTAAATAAATAGGAAGTGGGAACCTGTTACCAATTTTTTTTTTTATTGATATATTTATACCTATTTATAGCTCAAAAAAGTAAAAAAATTTTTATAATTTATAAAAAATGGTGATATAAACATATTATGTTAAAAAAGGGTACTTGACTTGTTCCGGGAGACAATATGGATCATTTGCGAATTATCTTTAAACTACATTTTGCTTAGAAATGTCTAATATAGAAATATTGTAAATCCAAAACGTAGGTACTATTGCCAAAATTAAGAAAATCGTGTTTGAGCATCAGGATCAGAATAAGTAGGTACATAGATTCTTATTAAAAAAACATCGATAAATCGATTGGCCTCGTCAGAAAAAATCAAAAAGTAGGTTGAACAAATCTATAAATTTATATTTTGACAAAAGTTTTGAAACATAATTAGATATCCGGAAAATGGAAAGTTGGTGCATCACCGCACAACGAACTTCCAATAAATCAATTTTGAGAATATTTACAATTATTATTCAAATACCTAAACAATTTTATTGACATTCTGACTTCAGTATATTATAGTACATTTGAAGTTTATAAAATATAACAGTAACCAGTAAGTTTGCAGGGGGCTAACAGGCTGAAGCCCCCCCCCCCCCATTGCCCGTATTATTATTACTTTAAAAACAAATTTATCAAGTTTCAAAGTTTCAATTGTCTTAAAATGCTTATAAAAAATAACCATGGTGCCTATGTATCGTTAATATTTTAGCTGAAATAAAAACTTACGAATTACATTTATAATAGGATTTTGACCGAATAAATATTTTTTCATTGAAATTTATAGACATTTTAATTAATCAAATACAACCCAAGTGAGGACGTTATAACCAAGCTGGTTACCAAACAATTTTAATATATATCATTTTTTTTTCTCCAATTATTTTAAAAAGCACTGAGCATTTTCAATTTCGACCTCCTAAAAGTACCAACTAGATCCAATTTACTTCCATACATCGGCCATCGAAGCTTATGATCAGAGCATATTTTCTACCAGATAAAAGTTGAAAAGTTACAAACATTTTAAAATATCTCAAATAAACGTCTAAAATCACCAGAAATAATGCAGTTTAGCTCGATTTTTGGGAATTTTTTTCGGGAACCTAATATGTATATTTCAATGAGTTAAGCACAATGATGCAATCAGAATTTGTCTACTAGACTTAGTTCCAAGGTTATGAACTTTTAAAGATTGTAATTTTGAGTATTATACGTCTACGCAGGTTATTTCACTAACGTACTAGAAAAAGTACATCACTTTAAAACTTTATTAAAAAGTATGTAAGTAACCCCCTCGCATTCATAATCCTGGCTACGCCACTGATAATAATAGGGATTTAATAAAATATATTTAGGCTGGCAGACCGTCTCCTCTCAGAATAGTCTTTCTAGGTAGCAGAGACGGATTTACACAATTGCCGCCCCTAGGCAATTTTTTTTTTTGCCGCCCCATTAAACTTATCAACGAGAAAACGAATTTTTAAATACTCATTTAACATAAGTACTATAAAAATAAATCATAAAGACTGATACTAAACAATAATTAATGGCAGTTATGTTAATAAACTGTTCTAATAAAATGTGTTTATAAAATATAGTGTTTATTTACCAGTAATTTAAGTAGTATACTAATAAGTAATAACCAAATAGGTGTGAAGTCTATCCGCCTTGAATGTTGTGTTGAAAATAATCGAATGTATAATCAGAATAAATCTATTTTTTACTCGGACGCCCTCTATTTCATAGTTCCGAAGAAAAATAAACAATTATTACATAATTTTATCTTTTGGATAGAAAAAGTTTTATTTTTGTACACATAATGCATAGTACGCACGAGTATATTATATAAAAATATTCACAGTGACTGGTTAATAATTAGACTATCGTTCCAATACGAATCGATCGTCACCCTTAATCCTTATTCGTATTAAATATATCATATCTGTATGTATTGTGCGTGTAGTGTGTGTACGCCGTGCGATCAAACGAACCACGAGCGATTATTAATAATTATTACGACTTAGCAAAAAAACAAATTAACGAATATGTTATCCATGTTTAGTATTTAGATAATAGATCTACGTTCCGGCATTCGTTAGATAATTTACTTGGACGTTTATTGTTATGTATTATAAAATAAAGAAGAAATTATATTAACAAGAATATTATTATACTTAAATATTAAACATTTTTTTTTCATCCTTCAGAGTAATCACCGTATATTAGAAAATCAAAAAGAAACTTAGAGTATTCTCAATAAAATATTGACCTAAAATTGCCGCCTCTAAAAATTTGCCGCCCTAGGCAACTGCCTACTTTGCCTGACGCTAAATCCGCCACTGCTAGGTAGGTACCTATGTACAGTTGGTAAATTAGCCATAAAATACATTGAATACGTGTACGCGATTTACAGTTGACAAGTAAAATGTTCTGCACAGAATAATATGACTGTAACTTGGTCAATTACGTAGTAAGTATTACGATAAAATTGAATCCTAAGAATTACTCAACTCTACCCAAGTATTGCACAGCGGCAATAATTCTATACCCAGTTCGTGGTTCATAAGTAATAAATTTATATGTAAATTTATACGTAAATGCTGGGGATTTAGATTAATTTAGGTTGATATAACTTAGGTTACATAACTTATAAATTATATTATTAATATTATTTATCATGCGGTTATTTCTATAATACGAGTATATTTATAGAAACTGTTAAATATATAGTAGACACTGTCTAGACAGTAGCCTCAGAGTAATAGATCACTTGCTAGTTTCTATCTACCATGGCCCGCCCCAAAAAATATTTTTATATACGCCACTGGTTCATAGATAACGGTAATCAGTACTCAGTATTTATAAACACCGGTAATCGGTTCTGAACCGGTCAAAACATAATATTACGTTATTATAATACGTTTTTTGTTGGCTGAAAATTTGTCACGGTTACCGGTAACCGATAACCGGCAATACAAATAGGTCTATGATAACGGTAACCGATTATAGGCTCCACAAAATTCAGGGAAATTGCCGGTATTCGGTAAAAACCTAACCTAACCTAACCTAACCTAACCAAACCGTCTGCTTAGAGACGATATTTTCTAATTAAAAAAAAAAACGTTGAACAAAAAACCGAGATACATTTACCGTTGTTTAAATAGTGAATTATAGTACAAATTGTTTAAGTCCAGCCGGCTTATAATACACATTACGCATGTTAGTTCCCACCCAATTGATAAAAATGGTATTATATGGTATCCGAGTGAAAACTTCGGTGTAATAGGATTTGGCCCGCAAGAGAATAATTGACTCTATTAAGTTGATATATTTTACAAAGTTTTATTTTGAAAATTGCAACACGCGACATTTTCGTTCCGCGAAAATATTATATATTATTAGCTCCTTTGAAGTAGTTTTACGATATTATTTTCCTTTTAAACAAAATAAATGTATATTTGACGAGATTTAATAAATTCGTTAAAATGTCATGACGTCGACGTTAAATGTCGTAGGTACCTGTATAATACTATTTATATATATATATATATATATATATATATCGATTTTAGTTTTTCCTTACTTGTTTTATGGTACTGCGCTGCAACGCTATTACCGCACCGACTTTTTATTTTATTATTTCGTTTCCAATATATTATTATTTTATTGACTAAAACAAAGTAGGTATATTACACATAACGTATTTTTCAACTATGCTCTATAATATAGAGGTCTGGTGTCCGAACAGTTACGATGCTATCAAGAAGCGTAAATATGAAGAGGCTCATCGAGCTTTTAATACAGACTGGGAGGAAGAATTCGCTTTTGTAGAAAGAAACGGTAAGCCAACGTGTCTTTTATGTCAAGTAACTTTGTCACAGTTCAAGGCCAGTAATCTAAAACGCCATCATGACAGTAACCGCAGTAGTTTTAATAAAGATTTTCCTTTTGGCTCCCAGTTAAGGAAAACCAAACTTAAATCACTAAAAGAAAAACCTGTGACTGTTACATCACCAATAACAAATAGTACAGCAACTGTAGAGTTAGAACTACAAGAGGACGAAGGACTAAAAGGACTCAAACGAAGTGGGGTTTCTACGATAGAATTTTGTAAAAATGTTCCAGAAGAAAAATATCCATTAATAACAAAAGAGTGTGCTATAAGACTTATTTCAATTTTTGACACTACTTATGTATGTGAATCGTTGTACTCTACTCAAAAATTCATTAAATCTAAACATCGATCTGAACTAAATGATGATCATCTAAGTGAACTTGTGCGATCTGCACTTACAAATTATCAGCCTGATTTCAAAAAACTTGCAGACAAAATGAACACTTGGAAAAGCACTTATCATAAGTAAAACAACTATAAAATTAATTATAATGTCAATATTCAATAATGATAATGTTTTTTGTAGTTTATAAAATAAATATTCCTTCATTTGATTTAAAATGAAAAATGCATCTTCATTTTATAAACATTGCTTTACAATGTGGTTCACCTCGAATTAACTTTATAAATTTGCGGCTCCCAAAATTAAGGTTAGTGGCCAACCCTGCTCTATATCGTTTTAATTCGTTCGGAAAATATCATTATAATGCGATTTATCTTGTTCGTTTTATTAGTTGGAAATTAGAGATTACAATATACTATTTAATCCGCCGGCAGCGAAGCCATATTTTCCGATATAACTTGCATATTAGTGCAACGATTATAACACATATTGTTATAATTTATTTATTTCTAAAACTACTTGGCGTGTCATACACTAGGTACCTCTCATCGGTGGTAGTAAGTAATAATAAATAATATTATACGGTTAGGCACCTATTGTTTGAAGAAAAAAATACTTTTAAAAGCTATGCATTGTTATTATTTTGAAATCCTTTCAACTTGACGCTGCTACTTTAGCACTCACTTCGAAATACCATCACGTAAAATATATTTTACGGGCACATGAAAAATATGATTTCGATGTAATTGAGTAATAAAATTAGATCGATTATCCAAGTAAATTTCACCTAATCTGTATACTTTCTTCTTACGTACTCCTCTCCCCGATCACAAGCATATTATTACTCGAAGGATATAGAAATCATGTGTTAAAAAAATTAAAACACAAACAAAAATATTACAAGAATAAAAGTATTCTAAGAATAATGGTATAGGTTGTACGTTTCTACTCATATTATTCATAAGTTATGAGTCATAAAATCATAACAACTCCTTACAAATTCAAGTAAAAAATCATCTTTCAACAAAGATTTATGTCGTGCTTTATTATCTGCTAACATACCTTTAAATAAACTTTCAAATAATCAATTTCGTAGTTTTTTGGAAAGTTATACGGGAAAAGAAATTCCAATGGAATCTACGTTAAGGCAAGGCTATGTCGATGATATATACATTGAAACAGTTGACAAAATAAAATTGGAAATCTTAAATAAAAACATATGGGTTAGTATTGACGAGACTACAGACATTGAGGGACGTTACATTGCGAATGTTGTAGTGGGCACTTTGGAACTAGATAGACCTGGGAAACAATTATTAATAAATTGTGCAGAACTAGAAAAAACAAACTTCTCAACAATAAGCAAACTGTTTGATGACTCCTTACAGTTAATATTCAGCGTGATCACGTGTTACTATTTTTAACTGACGCAGCGCCATACATGGTAAAATCAGCCAAAATGTTTAAAGCCCTATACTCTAAAATTATCCATGTTACATGTGCTGCTCATGGCTTACATAGAGTGACAGAAGAAGTAAGAGGTCAATTTAAATCAGTTGATAAGGTTATAGCCAGCGTTAAAAAAACTTTTAGAAAAGCACCGAGTAGCGTTCAACTTTTCAAATCCAAAGCCCCTGAAATAAGTCTACCACCAGAGCCTGTAATTACCCGTTGGGGTACCTGGATCAATGCAGCAAATTATTACTGCGATAATTTAAGCACAATTCGTTCTATTTTTGAATTACTTGACAATGACGATACAGTCATCAAAGATGCGAAAAAATATATCAATAGAAATGGAATAGACGTAGATCTTATTTTCATCAAATCAAATTTTTTGTCTTTTACTACATCTTTAAAAAAATTACAAACACAGGGGTTGTTATTATCTGACTATATTGAAATAATTAACGATGTAGAAAAATCATTTGAAACTCTACGAGGTCCAATTGGAATTAAAATACAGTCAAAATTAAAACAAGTGTTAGAAAAAAACACTGGTCTATCACTTTTGAAAAAAATGTCTTGCATTTTTTTGGGTATAAGAGACATCGAAGAATTAGAAGGTTTTCCAGATGATTTTTCTAGTAGTGATGTTCCATACTTCAAGTTCGCCACCATCACATCAGTCGATGTAGAACGTTCATTCTCAACGTACAAAACATTTCTGACCAATAATAGAAGATCGTTCAAATTTGAAAATATTCACAAACACGTAATAATACAGTGCAATCTTTAAGGTATAAACTAAAATTTATAATTTATAAATAATTATTAATTATAATTTATAATATTTATTTACTTACTGATTCATTGAATTTTACCAAAAATGTTTACAGAATGAAGAAATCATACATGTACAATGGACCACAAAAAGAAGAATAATACTCGGGAATATTTTTTAAAATTAGATTATGTCACTAATTATTAATTAAATACCTATAAATAAATATTTTTAGAATTAGAATTATTCAAAATAAATTTTTTTAAATTTTTTTATTGAGCATATTACAGTGCATATTTTATCATTTTTTAAGGCATATTATAGCGCATATTTCATGGTTTTTTAGTGCTAGAAGTCTCGAGCACTGGTTATGACTAGTGAGCAATTGAAAAGAGCCGAGTTATTTTTGAAATTGAATGTACACATAAATGTGTGGTTTTATGTGTTTAACACGATACAAGTATCAGAAATTCAACATAACGTTTAGTTTTTTAAATATTGAAAATCTCAAAAGAGATAATAATATAATATTTGAATTTTTATTTTATATTTAAATGGCCATGAAGCGCCGTTTAACAAAGAATATCACTTTAAAGATTTATTATTAATATTTGAAAAACTAAACGTTAAAATATTGAATTTCTGATAAGTACTTTTATCGTCTTGAACACATAACAAATCACCAAGACCAGATAGGTAAACTAAATTTCAAAAATAAAATGTTTAGATTGGTAAATCGTCGTGTGAATAAGATATTATGCCCAATTATTACGATGAGCAAGGCCCAATGACGTTACTCGGCTATTCTACATTTCTTAATATCTCTTAAAGCGTTGAAGTCACCAATTTTTTTTACATGGGAATTTCACCAAATCATTTAGCCAAATTATATAGCCAAAGCTACACAATAATTTAACATTCAAAAAAATGTAATTTTTACAAAATATGTTTTCAGTGTGTCGTTGTTTTCGTTAGCAAATCTATTATAATATATTAAATAAATAAATAAATTGTACGCATAACTATATTATTATCGCTGCTGTAAAATTAAATGTTAACGATAATCACGCATAACGTCCATTGTATATATTTTATATTCTAATAAATAAACTTATACAAACTGAAAATGTATATGAAAATTATTAACTTGATCGAATATATTATATATATATTTTAATCGTACTTTTCACGAGCATAACATTGTTAGGTTAATATAATAGGTTAAATCCAATTAGAATATTGATTTTATTTTATTAATTTTTGCTACCTATTATTATATTATAACATATGGCTTTTGAATCTAATTCTAAATTATTATGTAATGTAATGGATTATAATAATAGCCAACCGTTTTATAAAATAATAATTTTATGCATAATTTTTTTTAACAAAGTAAACGTTGATAAATAAATAAATTATTTATTTATTTATAATTATTATGCTCGTTGAAAAAAACTTGAAAATTGAATACAAGATTTTTTATAAATAGTACTTATACAGTAATTTTAAATTATACGAAATAAAAAAATGAATAAGTGTTTGAATTTTCGTTATTTTTGACAATATTATTCGTCAAAATAACGAAAAAGTACAAATTATTTATTACCTACCTACTTTATTAATTTTTTTTTTTTTTTAATAGCTATTAGTGACAACACTATTATAGCTCAGCAATCATAGTAATATACTTTACAATAGTATTATATCTTATGATATACATGACAGTATTTTGATAATATAATATTTAACAGTTTATAAGAGATGCTTACCAGAGAAATAAGGTATAGGTATAACGTAGTTTTATACGTAATATTAATGATAATTTCAAGTATTCAGAACATGGCAGAAGAACCAAATAATTATACTTTATAAGACACTTGTGACTTGTGAGTTTTAAAATTGAATTCTAGCTGAGTACAGATAAAAATAAAAATAACTAACAACTACTAGTTTGAAAAATACTAATATAATACCTAACTATTAGTTGAAAGTATAATTTTTTAACCATTATAACTTTAAGCGAAAAATTAAATACTTATTAATATTTTAAAAGATATAAACACACAAAAAATTATTTTATTATTAATAATACATTTTGTTAGTTTTATATTGTCTGAAGACTGATAAATATATTTTAAAACTAATTATTTACAATTTCTTATTATAAGTTTAAACCAAAAAGTATGTACCTATTTACTATTATTTTTCTTATAATTCTGTTGTGTCGTTTTTAAGAGATAACATAAATAACCATGCGTTTAATATTTATTCATTAACTACTATATTTAAATTTTCCTATATTTTAATTAGATATTACAAAATGTATTTAGCGTGGTTCAAAGTTGGTCTTATATTTCTCTAGTTTATTAGCTATATTGATGCAAATTAAGGTGTTTTTCTCTTAGGTTTTATAAAATACTATTTAAACTATCAGTCGACCTGACTGATAATAATATTATATTATAGATCTTTGTTTTTTTTTTTTTTTTTTTATTGATCTAAAAGTTAACATCGACGACAAAGGCCATTAGTTACCAGCAAGGTTTTTATACAATAATACCAGTAACAATAATGATTAATAATTTTTTTAAACAAGACCGAAAAGTTTTGTTTGTTTCAGAAATTTGATTATATCCTGGTTGTTTTCTTGGTTGGGTCCGAGTGCAGAATCGAGATTGTGAGATATGTTGTTCGCGGCCCGTTCTTGGTTGAACTTTAGACAGTACTCTTTGTTTTTAAATTATATTTATCAATATCTTTTTTAATGGTTCGTTATTGTTTTTACAGTACCTACGTAAGTTCACATTTTGTGTAGTAAAAATAATAAAGACATCAAATTTCTCTTGTGCAAAGGAAAATAGTACTTACCCTAAACATATACATATTTTGAAATTTAAAAACT